TTAGTTCTCTCTTTCTCTGCTAATGTCATATTATGTTTTACAATTGTGATTGAAGTTTTCCCCCCTTTTACGTAGGATTTAGTGTTCCTTGAGGTTTGTACCATCATAAGAAGACCCCTTTACTCAAGTGGTCTTTGATAATAGTGAAATGTTTAGCAGCTTCTCTTCATGTCAAAAAAACTCCTTATAAGTCCACAACCTTTGATTTACCACAACTATTTGTATCATTTCTCCATGCAGAATAAGTTATATTTTTTCTAATTTTTAGATAACACAGATTCAAATTCGAATTTCACATTCAAAACCCCATTGTGAACTCAAAAGTCATTACAAATGAAATCTGCAACCATAAAACAATCTAGCTCTTACTCTACTTAAGTGTGTCTTCTTCATTCTTGGACAAAGGTTTTGAGCTTCTTCAACCATAGTAAATACTCTCTGCTATCTTTCTTCATCATATACTCATACAAGAAATCCGTTGCGCTTGCTTTGATTCCTCTCGTCTCTAGAAACTTGTGGAACGACTTGCGCATATTCTCATCCAACTCCCTGCAAAGCAAAAGAAAGAAACAACATTTGAGTTTTTTTTTTCTTGGGTTATCATATTAAAACAGATGGGATATATGTTGCTTACTGAAAATCTGGCCCATAATAAGTCAACTGTTCTTGAGAAGAATCCTCTGGACGGTTCACAGACAATCCATCAATGACAATCTCATCAGGGAAAGCAGTGCAGCTAAACTCTAGGCTGAGTCCACTCTTCTTAGTCACAGTGACAACAAGTGGAATGCTTGATTCATTCGCTTTCTCAAGACGACCATCACCATCTTCATCGTCATCCACATCATCTTCATTTTCATCCATGGCAAGACCAGGCATGCTTACTTCTACTTTAATCTGTTCCCCATTGTATTCTCTAGTCAATTTCACAGTCCTGTGTCCAGGATTATCTTCGATTTTGAAAGGAAAGTCACTAGAGTCTATGGTCTCTTCATCCTGAAAAATAAAACCAGAATCATGTAGGCTTTTCATATGCTTATAACCAGGAAATCAAAACAGGTTCATGCAATTTATGTGAGCATATACCAAAATATACCCCAGAAACCAACCAATGCTTTTATTTGCCTTAACCAATGCTTGAGAATGATCAGATTTCGAAAATGTATGGACTTTAGTCAACAAATTCTGAAAGAAATGCATTAATTAGCCCAAATGCAGTGCTAAGTCTCCAGTTAGATTCAACTATGAGTTCCATTGAAGCTTATGGCTTCTACAGAGTCACTCCAATTTTAAACACTGCTACTACAATTCTCTATCAGAAATCCCACAGATTCGTTTTTTTTTTCCCCAGGAATCAAGTGATAAAGACAAGTTATTACCGCATCGTGATCATCGGCTTCGAAAGAATCGTTGATCTCAGAGTCAATCACTTGTAGAAGCGTCTGATCGGACTTTAACGGCTCAGTGGCCGTCGAATAAGGAAAGCCGCGAGAGACGAAAGGACGAAGCAGAGATGTCTTGGGAACAAGAGACGAGCGATTAACGATGACGGAGACCGCCTGAGCTCGAGCCACACGACCACACACGGATGCTAAAGTAGAAGCTGATCTGCGAATGCACAAAGCGAAACCCATGGCGATTTCAAGAAAATGGATTCTCTCAGTCTCTGGGTTTTGGCCTTTCCTTAGGGTTTTAAGTGAACGAAGAAGATAAACTATTTTAACCAAACCGTACCGGTATTCAAACCAAACCGGTCAACTTACAATTTTCCATTTCTCAATTCTCATCTACATATACATTTTTACAGGGGATTTTTGCATAAAGTCTTATGGATCCGGGTTTGACCCGGATTTAAGTCTATTCGGATCTAGAATTAGATAATTAAGGAATGTTGTAATTAAAACAATCGACCTTATCTCTTTAATTACCCATTAACATTAATTGTTTAGTCAGATATTAGTTGTCCGGGTAAATACAATATTAAAAGATCTTAACAAACATTGCCAAAAAAATCTCTCCAGAAATTCTACACGCTTTTTCTTTCCAAAATATTTTTTCCAAGATTTCTTCAATCATTTAGAAACGAATATTCACAACATAGCATTTGGGATATTCCTTCTCTCCAATATCTGTAAAAAAACTATTGTAAGAAACGAATTTATGACTTTTCTCCAAAAAAATCTCCACAGTTACTCTCTAATATCTATATATTTCTAAAATATATATTCTCGGATCTCTTCTATCAACTAATTACTCCCCCACCTTCATTTTCCGAGATTTCCGAGATTTCTTCTCTGTACAATATCGATTTTAAGAAACAAAGTTATGACTATATAAAATTTAAATCTTGGCATATTCCAAAATACTATATTTTCCAAAGATTTTATCCTTTCTTAGGTTCTACATCAAATATTTTTTTGCGTGTAGTTCTATGGATTAATGACCTAATTATGAGCCTATAAATACTCTACACCTTGACGTCTCATAACATCCTCAAAACCAAAGAAGCAATCAAGCAACTATTTGCAGAAAACCATTAAACACACCTTACAAAACCGAGATGTTCGACCCTATAAAACCGCCTGGAGAGTTCAAGTTAATATTCTCCATTCTTGGCGTCAGCACACCATTAACACGATGAAACTCTTGAGTTTGTCTTCTTGGACGAATTAGTAAGAACAATTTACAGAAAGTTTTGTCAATAAATCATTTACAAATTACAACTATTCCATGTTGATCTTAGATTATTTCTTAACTACTACACTTTTTCCTGTATCCATTTCAGGGTCAAAAAAATCCATGCCTAAACCTGTGTTCTCTCATGGCCAACTTTATGTTGCGTTGTCTATGGTTACCTCTAAAAAAAGTTTGAAAATACTACTACCCAATAAAGAGGGGAAGATTCAAAAGCAAACAACAAATGTTGTTTTCAAAGAGGTTTTCCAGAATATCAATTGACTTGACTATTGCCATTCTATGTGACCATAGCCTCTTAGAAGGTATGTGTACTTTACCTTTATTTACTTTCTATTTCAATTATGTTTTGACAAAACCCCTAATCAGTATCTTAATTTATACGTGTGTCAATTTATATTTGTAGGTGACTCATTGACACAAAATTGAGTCAAAGGAAAACTAAGTAGAGTTTATATCTTCCACTACGATAGCTTCCACTACAGATCATCCTAAAAACAAATATGCAGTTTTTCTTTACTTAAGCTGTGTTATTGACAGCTTTTTTTGCAATTCCTAATTATTTGATTATGTATTCCATTCCACTTTCATATATTTGGGAAAAGGTAAACTGTTAATATGTCAATGTAAAATTAAAAATGCATTAAGATGTAATGCATCAATTACACAGATATGAGCTTCATCAAGTTTTACAACATAGGAATCATAGTAATGTCTTTCCAGACGACATTCTTTTTTTATTTCTTCTCAATAACCCACTTCTATACCAAAACAAATACACTTTTCTCTATATATTAATCAAGACAAGTTAGACTTTTAGTCAATCTATATATACACTGTGTATGGAGAATTTCTTTGATTAAGCACTTAAGAGTTGCAGTATTTCGTTCAAAGATATGTTAATGTTAAAGACCCTTCGGTTTTTTTCTTTTGAGAACGAAGTGTCAATTTAAGAATGTTCAATCAAACAAACTCAAACCTCAAATAGGCAAATAATCAACAATCAATCTGTAATGAGCAAGTGTATAGTACCTTGAATTTTCTCTGAAATTTGAGATTCACTATTGATAATGGATTCCAAATTTCTTCACGACTACCTTATATCCTTCAACCAAATTTAACAACATGTTTCTTCATAAACACAACAAAATTATTACAGGAACTAAAAATATGTCTAACCTTTGAATCAAGACAAAAATAAAGCCAGATCTGCTTTGTTCGTCTAGGGTCGCCATGGGTTTTGGATAAATTTTCTTCAATAGATGAGTTGCTTATCATTTTCACATCGCCTCCTCGAATCAAAACAACATCGCGTCGGTGGATTACTAATCGGAGATCTTCGAAATTAGGTTTGGATCTGGACTTATCGAACATGATCTTCTCATATACAGTTGCGGATCCTTAATCAAGAAAGAAATTAGAAGATTGAGGTAGACAATCGTAAGAAATCGATAAAAAGAGAAGAAGATGAAAAGGAGATTTATTTTTCTTGAAGGAAAGTTAATTGTTTTCTCATGTTTATTTGTCTTTTACTTTTCTTTTTTAATTAATAGACACACATATTAAACCACAAATAATCGACAGATCCATGAAATAAATATGACAAATATAACTTCATTGCAAAAATAAATTATTCAAAACTATTTCTTTGGTCCAAGTAAAATTAAACATAGAATTTTTAACAATGATTAATTCAGTAATAATATAGTAATCAAATATGTTTTTGTCCACTTACAAAAAAAAAACTTTCAAATTTAATTCTCTATTATTATAAATCTACAAATAAAACATCTATAAATATACACCCGCCATACAACGTATATCAAATATATGTTTTCAGTAATTCATTTTAAACACTGAAGCGTAAAACTTCCTTAACGTAACCGATATAATATACAATATACAATATAAAACAGACAATTACAATCTTATATGTATATATAATCATCCAATTTTTTAACTTTACGGTTTTTATAAAATTAATCGTCCAATGGTGTACCGCGGGTTAATACAAAATTTAACAATATAATTAATAAACTATTATATCGTTTTTCAAAAAGAAAAAAAAAAACACATTTTGTTTTTCCACTAAATCGTTAATTACTGAACTGTATGTTACATTTCCTATATTTATAACAGTAAACTTAAAACAAAATAATTGTAAACTAAATAATATATAGATATATGGATTGTACATTTAAAATATACAAAATAATAGTTTATATAATCTATTAATCAACTAATCAATTATATTTTACTTTATATTTTAAAATTATAGGCCCGCGGTGTACCGCGGGTTAACATCTAGTACAAAACAAAAACGTAAACCACAAGATTCTCTTCATAAACAAATTGTACTAATTTCTGGCATATCTTTTAAAAGTAGCTTTCACATATCAAAAAATCAGAATTTACATAAGTCAACATAACTTTCACAAACTGTATGATTAAGAGACTGAAATGTTCTTTGAATTTCACTAATTTGGTTTAACAATCTGAACCAGTTTCTAGGTGACCCGGATCAACAGGACAACCATTATGAACACACAGATCATGGCGAAGATCAACAGCCACTGGAAGCAACTTGTCTTTGAGCTTTGTGAATATATCTTCGTCGCTCTTGTTGTCGCATGTCCTGTGCTCGCTAAGCTTTGCTCAATGGCCTCCTCGGTAGAGTCCAGTATCTTTTGTTAATGAATCCACAACAAAAGAAAGAAAGAAAAATGTTAGGACCAATGAAGCCAGTTAAAAGAAGATATGAACTAAATATAGATTCTTCTCTTGTCCCATAGTTGTTGATAATAGTAAGAATAATGGGTTTTGTGAGGATTGGCTTAGCATCTCATAATGCTTAGCATCTAACCTTTTCTGTATTTTGCACAGATTGGCTTATCGCTTGACTTCTTTCCTTGAGTTGTCTTGCAAGTACCACCATTTCATCGGTTAGATCCTCTTGAAGCTTTCTGTCATCAATATGAATCAACAATGCGCCATGAAGTGGCAAATTCAACTTAAATTCATATCAATAAAGCTTTACTCATCACAGTAGCTTTTGTTTTATCAATGAAAGTGCATAGATAGATCAAATGAGCTCCTAGTTTTTCTAGGTGATCAATGGAAACTACCTGTGCTTGTCAATGTGCGCTTGAGCTGCGGTGTCTAGTTTTATTGGTTTTGATGAATCAGCATCAGCAGCATCAAAGCTTTGCTCCTTGGAACTTGCAGGGCTACCTCAATCAAGGAAGCTGATAAGTAAGTAATAAAGGAAAGAATTTACAAACTGAGAAAGATGTGAATCTAGTATTCCACTTACACGATTCTTCTTCTCAGCTGTGGAGAAGTGGGGCTTCGAGGCTCATCTTCTATTTTTGGTGAGCTTCCACTAGTCGAATCTTTTGCAAAGGGTTCATCAGATATCTCGGTGTCAGGCTGCAAAATTTTGCCAAAAAAACAATAATTTGGTATTAGTTACTTAGAAGTAAAACTAGACATTCTTGCAACTAAACAACGGTTCTACGCCGCAGGAAGAAACCAAAATGTGCGTTCCTGAAACTCACCCAAGGGGAAACAATTCCTCAGACCACCAAATGCATCTAGTAAAAATTAGCAAGAGCCTAAATGTATTCCTAACACGTTACTGCTAATGTCAAGTTGAAAAAAAGAGTCCCTTTCTAGTTCAGGTCGACTTACCTCTTGAGAAGCGATCTTCGAAGCAACAGCTTCAATCTTGTCATAGTACTCATTTACCTTAGCCTTTGTAACTCTGGACAAAGAGGAAAATAAGCACATTCTCATAATGGTTGCAAGGGTATTTTGAAAGAGCATCAAATAGCTTCGTCATTTCACTTTTGGAACAAGTATAATACGAAGCAATCCAATTCAATTCTCTAACCCTTGATGCTAGAAAGAGACACCAAAAGCAGGAATCTTTTTAATGGAAATGGTGAATCAATAAGAGAGTAAGTAATAAACCTGGGAAGGCCTTGAGGGGTCTTCTCTTCCGAGAGTTGTTCTAATTGTTCCCTCAATGTAGCAACATACTGCAGATTATTTGTTTCATACATCAACATTTATCAACATAAGCACGAAACTAATAGTTTACATAATGAAGATTCAAAGGACGTACATGCATAAGCTTTGACTGATTTTGCTGGTTAGGTGCAGCGGCAAGCAATCTCCGCAAATTGATCTCTGTTTTGCTTATTCCCATCATCCGTGAATCTGAAAAACTAGACAATCAAACATTCATATCAAAGCAAAGAGACCAGTAACAGATCCAATTCACGATTTTAAATCCAATCGAATATCTGATCTCACGAAATTCAGTGAAACGAATCAGACCTTGTTTAGATTGGAGAGGAGAGGAAACAAAATCCAATTCCGTCACTATCTCACGATATCTCTAACACCTTTTGTCGTCCACAGTTGTCAGGAGAAGCCGGCGTAAAAATCTTCACCGGAAAATTATTCTTTTTTTTTTCTCGAGAAATTTCGAGTACAAAAATAAAAAATTATATTCGGCGGTTATTGGCTTTGGTTTCGTTTGATGAACTAAACCGATGGTTTAATAATAATTAACAACCGAATTCGTAGCAATATGATCAATAACCAACTCACACAATAAAATAATTATTCTCCTTCTGGTTCGATGGCAACTAATTAGATTTACCTCTTATGGGCTGACTAGAATTTGGGCTTTAAAATACTTGTTTCTTTAGCTTTGGGCTATAAACTTGCCACGTTTAATTTTATGGGCTGCAACATATGTTCGGCCGCTTATGTCCGGTGACCGCATGTAGATCCATCATTTTATAAGAATAATTTAATAATAATCTAAATATGAAAATCACATTGAGAGGCAAGCAAGTAGTGATTTGAATCATTGGTTAAAGACTCCTAGAAAACAATGAAAAATTTACTTTATTACTTAGCTCGAAATCGTTTTGATATACATAGCAAAATAGATACGGACAAATGCAACAAATGGTCATCACAATCTGGTTTCATGTAATGTTTGATGTGATCTCTTTGTTCGGCAACACAGCTTTTCCATTACAATAAATCTCATCGCACTAGTGAACATCTTTCCCAAGTATCAACATGTTCTCGACTCGAGCCCATTGCGTTGAGTACTTGAGTGCCACCCAATGATAGTCTTAGACTTGTGATGTCGCGTGGTTGACAAATGTTCATCCAGAATCTGGGAATCTCTTTCGCTATTGAAGTCGGTCTTAACTTAGTCCGATCAAAAACTAGCTAAAAGATTTAGTAGATAAATCCCAGCATTGATCTTATTGTTGTTACCCGGCCACGAATATCGACGGCTCATCCACCTTTTTAATCAAAACGATCCCAACATCAATAATATCCTAATGAGTAATGAAGAAGAAAAATATTGAGATCGATTTTAAGAATCTTTACCTTTGTAAACATCCATTGGTTACTAATTACCCTCAGCTACTTGGCTCTATATGTATGAAATAATGGGGGTAGAATCGGCCCTAATTGACATTGCTTATATATAATCACTGGTAGTGGTAAAAGAAAAACTTGCTTACGAAAGTGGGCCTGTTTGTTATCTACAAGGCCTAGCCCAATAAGATACTCTTAGTCTCTGGCAAACTAATTTATTACTCTTGGAAGTCTTTCAACGCAGCCACAGATAGACCTAACCCTAAAAGAAAAAAGGGTATTCTATCTAATTTTCTCGATGTCCGACGACGATTTCATGCCCGATCCCACCAGTAAGATCCTTGAAATTGTTTGTGTTTATCTGGATTAAATTTCAGCTGGTCGATCTGTTATGCTAAACAAGCGGATCTAATCAGTTTTTTTTTTTTTAACAGAAGCAAAAACAAGCGTCTTCTGGGACGTGGAAGATTTCCCAAGCCCTAATGGTGTCTCGTTTTATGAGATAATCAAATCAGCTATTGAGGACGAGGGTTACCGTGGTGAGGTATCAATCATGGCTTATGGTGAGAAGAAACGTGAAGAGTACAATCTCGATGATGGTGTAGTACTCACCTTCGAACCCAAAAGTGATTTTCCTTTACTTAAAACTCTTTTTATTACATAGTATATATATGTAGGTGCAATTTTCGTCTTAGTTGATATGATATATACATTTCAGAGGGTAAGTATGGGAGACTAAATAAGATGTTAGTGGACATCGCTCTTTGGTCAGTGGACAATCCTGCTCCTTATTTTACACCTGCAAATCTTATGGTAATCGCTAAAAACATCCCAGAAGAGACCAAGTTCGACAGATTTCTTTTTTTGATGAGAACGTACGGTTACAATCTTATCTTAGTTGTGGCTAATGACTGCGCCCCAGAAGAAGCGCAAATTCCGCAAGCAGGCACTATATGGTATTGGGAAAGCCTATTAGATGGAGCAAAGCCTCTCGACCCAACCCAATTACGTAGCCTATTAGCTCGAGGCAAACGAGAGACTTTCGGATGCGAAGAAGATGACTCACAGAGTGAAGAGGACGATGATGCTCCTTGTCCTTTTTGTGATAAATAGCTTAGACAATACTGTATAATGTTTTATCAATCTTACTTTTAAAATGATACTTTGTTTTCTGTCAAAAGAATTTAGTTTTGTGTATGATAACATTGGCTCCGATCCTTGTTCTCTTAAAACTCTGTTTTAGGAAGAATAAATCTACAAATAATAATGAAACCATCCAAAAAATACACATGAGCAAAACAACAATAAAGGACTAGGACATGCTACACGCATAAGGAACAAGATCAAGAGACCTCATCACAAGAAACACCAGACCAAACATCAAGACAACATATCAAAAACGATTTCACTTAGATTAAACATCTTTACACTCAAGACATAGATTAAATCTAACTTCAAACAACATTAAACTCAAAACACAGGTTCAGAGCTGATGTAGCGAGGTATTTGACAAACCAAGACATAGTGAAACTGCGATATCGTTTGTAGAGAATGAGTTGATAGCATCGAAGGTTTCCATGGTGCCTTTCACATTGATTCAAAGGAGTTGATAGCATCGAAGGTTTCCAAGGTTTCACTATCTATCTCTCTCGTTTTTTTGTTTGTTTGTTTGTTTATCGTTGTTCATATGGCTCTCTCTCTAAAATCCTTGTTGTAGTTCCTAGTATTGTTCTCTTGAACCCTTTCTTCACGTACTCGATTGCTTGTTCGTGACATTAACTGATGTAACATGTTTTAGGAAGTTTACAAGAAATGTTATTCCACGCAAACGATGAACTCACAATCTCCGGTTCTAGGGTAGTGCTGGAGGAGCAAAAGCTTAGGATCAGTTTCGAAAATGAGCGGCTTTCACCTGATCATTGCACCTACTACACACTATATGAGGTGATCTAAAAATATTAGGAAATAACAGTTGTGTCCTCTGATGATATGGACAAGATCAAAATCAAGAAATATCGATGGGAAAGGAGTAAACTGCAAATCATCTGAACACAAAATAGAGTTTAAAAAACCAATTAAGAGCCAATGTTATCATACACACAACCAAAGCCTTTTGATAGTAACAAAGTATCATTTTAAACGAAGTTGGTCAGAATCAGCATCACTACTTTCTCTAGTGACGGTTTCGCACATTGTTGTCATCAGAATCAGAATCACTTTCGATAGGGATATCTCCATGAAATAGGTTAGTCCAACGCCATATTAAGTAGTAGGAAGTGGCAATTCTTCTGGTGGGCAGTCATCAGGCACAGCTACGAAAACAATGAAGTTTCTTCCTTGCAAAGCTTTACATACATTGACGAACTCCGTGTCTCCTTCTGGGATGTCTTTTGCAATAACCAACAAATTTACTTGTTGAGAACTTAAGGTCGGAGGATTTTTCGTGTGCCCAGTCAACTATGTCCAATAACATACTATTAAGTCTCGTGCATTTTTTTTTCCGCTGGAAATACATCCTTGTCCTTTTTGTGGAAAATAGCTGTTGAGAGTGTAATGTTTTATCAATCTATCTACAAATAACGATGAAACATTTGGAAAAATCCATGAGCAAAATAAACAATAAATGGCTTAGGCCATGACACATACAAAAAGGAGGAACAAGATCACAACCTCTTCTCAAGAAACACCAGACGAATCATCAAGACAACATTTCCAAAAAGATTTCACTTAAGCTCAAGACACACATAACTTAAATAGATCTAACTTCAAACAACATATTTGAACACAAAGCATAGCTTAAGAGAACAAAGAGCCAACACAAACAAAACCTTAAGTCTTTTGACAGAAAACATAGTAGTATCATTTTAAACGAAGCTGCCATGATCAGTGGTTAACAGTTTCACACACCTAGTCTTCATCAGAATCACTTTCGATAGGGATACCTCCATCAAATAGGTTTGTCCAACGCCATACTAAGCTTGCAGTACTAGGAAGTGGCAATTCTTCTGGTGGGCAGTCATCAGGCACAACTACGAAAACATTGAAGTTTCTTTGTTGCAAACGTTCACAGACACTGACGAACTCCGTGTCTCCGTCTGGGATGTCTTTTGCAATTACCAACAAATTTACTTTTTGAGAACTTCTGGTCGGAGGATTTTGGTATGCCCAGTCAATCATGTCCAATAACATACTATTAAGTCTCGTACATTTTTTTTCCGCTGCAAATGCATATATATATACCGGGATGTTAGATAATTACAAGATACTAGGTAACAAACATTAAAAAAAAAAGGGACAATTAGAGTTGTGTTAAAGTAAAGGAAGTCACGTACATTGGTGAACGAACAAGACTTGTGCCCCCCTATAGTGACAAATCGCTTTGTATGAGAGCTTCCCAGCATCATAACCAAAGAATGACACATCACTAAGATAACCTTCAATCTCAAGAGCGTCTTTGATATTCTTAGGAAACGAGTCCAAAGGCTTACCAGGAGGGACTGGGAAATCATCCACGTCCCAGAAGACGCGTGTTGTAGCACCTGCCATGTTTCGTGCAATTACCAAACGTCAAAAATAAATAACGGGACAACCAAATCGATTGATATGTAATCTAATCCAGATAAAAGACAAACAACTTAGAGCAAGAAGATTGATCTTACCGACGAATAAATCCGAGTCCGACGACATGGTTACGACCGGAGGAGATCGAGAAAATTTGATACTAGAAGATTCTGGGAAAGGGAAAAAAAACAAGGATGGGGGGATAGATTTGTTGAAAGGGTTAGGCGTTTTATTATTGAAAGATTTATTAGCTTTTTTAGTAAAAATAAAGTGTGACTAAAGTTTTGTAACTCTACGGCGAACGATCGCGAAAACCCTAATTTCACGTTCCTAAAATCTAAATATGAAATTAATTATATTGAGAGGAAAGTATGTACACAACAAAAAACACGGCAAGTTACGTCGTTCAATATTGAGTGTAACGTCAGTTATAAACTGACTTAAAACTATTACCGTCGGTTTGAAAACCGTCTTATTATTGTATGACGTTAATATTATCTGACTTTAAAGTCATTTTACGAAAAAGTTTCTAAAATTCTTTAGCATAAGATAATCAACCAAATAAACATTTTTGACACGATTATGGGTAATGGACCCTTCTTTAATGGCCCCACATGATTCATAAACAAATTTTAAACATCCAAATAAAGAAAACACAAATTTTCTTAAGCAATATTTGAGTCGGTTAGTAAACCGACGCAAAATTCCTTGTAACTAAAAATTCTTACGTCGGTTAACAAAGTGACTCTAGTAAATCGACGTTATCCAGCGTATTTTTTGTAGTGGTACTGTATACTTATTTGGATCATTGGTTATATAATCTTTTAGAAAACATTGAAATTTTTTACTTTTTATGACTTTATACACTAGAAATCGTTTTCATATAAATTACCACAAAAAACAAAACGGACAAATCAACCAAATTGTCATCACATCACTATATCTGGTTTCAAGATGTCTGATTTGATCTCTTTGTTATGCAACACAACCCCTCCATTACAATAAATCTCATCGCACACGTGAACATTTTTCCCAAGTATGGACATGTTCTCGACCCGAGCCCATTGTCCGACCGTCGAGTGCCACCCAATGATACTACTTGAGACACACGCATAACTTTTCACGTGTACCCCACGCATTACGGTGCAGCGCGATAGTCTAACCCCAGACTCAACGACGCAGCCAGGGCCTATAGCAACGTCAGGGCCAATCAAACATCCTTCTCCAATCTCTGCGGTTTCATCCACAAGAACATTTCCCAAAATGTGTGGACCAGTGGCTAACTTTGAAGAAGATTTCTTCCTCAGAGAGTCTAAGTAAAGTCTCAGACCAGTAATGTAGTCTCGTGGTTGACCAATGTCCATCCAGAATCCGGGAAGTAGCATTGCGTAGAGTTTTTCCGCTTCTGCGATTTGAGGGAAGATCTCTTTCTCAATCGAAGTTGGTCTTAGCTCGATCCGGTCAAGAACTGAAGGATTTAGAAGATAAATCCCAGCATTGATCTTGTTACCAACAAATAGTTTCGGCTTTTCGACAAATCTTTCCACTTTCCCTGTGGCTTCTTCCATAACCACAACTCCATATTTCGACGGCTCATCCACCTTTTAAACCAATAATATCCTAATGAGTAAAAACATGAACAAAATTATATGATGGTTTCAACAAAAATCTTTTACCTTTGTCACCATTATAGAGGCCTCTCCTCCATGAGCATTGTGAAATGCAATCATTTCTTCAAGCGGGTATTCGCTAATAACATCGCTGTTAAGGACAAAGAATGGCTGGCCAGAGCCATCAACCAGTTTGTCCCTGGCTAAAGCTAAAGGACCAGCTGTACCTAAAGGCTCAGTCTCTTGCGAGCAGGTGATCTTGATCGCGAGATTTGTCTCAACGTCCTTTGAGAATTTCGACATCACTAGCAGTTGCTGAATGATTTTTCAACATTGAACTATTAAGATCCTCTATAAAAAAAAAATCAGATATAGCTTTGCAAATTGAAGTTTCAAAGACTTGAAGTCTTTTTACCTCTGGCTCATAGTTAATGGCCAAAACAACTTCATCGACTCCAATTGCCTTAAGTGCCTCTATCTGCAACAACATTATCCATCACTTAAAGAGCATATAGCTCATAAAGAAAATACAAAAATAAGACCATGACACTAGCAAGAAGAACCACAATATTACAAGATCAAGGAACATATATAGTACCTGATGTAGGATCATAGGTTTATTAGCGAAATCAACAAGCGGCTTTGGGAAACTGAGAGTCAATGGTCTCAAGCGAGTGCCAAAACCTCCAACAAGAATAAGAGCTTTCATCTTGATGCACCACTAACTTCTTTTTCCTGTAGAGAACATATTGAAGATAAAAAGCAGAGAAAATCACAACAATATGCATCTATTGTGAGAACATTCTTAAGGGAAATCCAAAAGTTAAAAGTTAATAATTACAATTTTTTTTAAAAAAATGTTGTTCTTCATAGTCAAGTCCAGATTAAGATAAAGCTCACAACTAAAGAAAATGAAAAAAATAAATATTCGGGAAAATAATAATCATCACTGACAAAGCTTCAAACGAATAACCCTAATCCACAACCCTAGAAACGGAGTCCAAAATTACGTACGCTCTAAGCCAAATCAAATCAATACAGACAAATCGCACAAAACCACTCTAGAAATAAAATCAGATGAACCACAAGTCAAGGAAACGTAGCAGATTCGTGCTCGTTACCGTGAAAAGAAGAAAAAGTCATATTTACCTATTCAAGATCTCACAGGATCGTCGATAAACTAAGCCCTGAGCTGAAGCGACGATTTTGGGTGGATTAAGGGATCTACTGATTAATTAGCTGTGTAACTCTTATTAAATTTTTAGAAAACAGATGTTACAAAACTTTATAATTTTATTATTCCAAATTTTAAAAGTAAAATATTTTCTACTATTAGTGAAAATATGAATTATCTTCTATTCATCTTTACAAGATTATATAATTATTGTAATAAATGTTACAATAAATTTAAATTATAAAAACACAAATTGTATTAAGGCCAAAAAATGAAAATATAATAAATAAATAGGCCCTTCAGTTTCGATCGTGTAATATAGTTAAAAGTTGAAAGAAACCCTAAATGCTTTGACTGCTACGTATCGAAGATTATTAAGATTTTGAGCCTGATTTGAATTTTTATGTTGAAAATTTTAAAAATAGATGATGAAGCTGCGGAAGGAGGCGCAAAGCAAGGAGGATGCGGAGGCTAAAACGTCGGTGAGGTGGGACATGGACCACTTCCCGGTTCCTAGTGGGTATGATGCTGGTCGGATCCGTGAGTGTATAGAACAGTGGTTGGGGAATTTAGGTTAATGTGGTCCTGTCACCATCAGCTACCACACACATATATGCCGATTTGTTGGCATGGAAAAGGCGTCATCCAGCTCCAGTTACAATAATGCTCATAACTTCTCCCGGAGACGCGTTTCCCCTGTTTAAGATTAGTTCCCAAGCAATAGAAGGGGGACCCAACGTTGTTGTGGATTATAAATGGCTTAAGCTAATTGAAGGCTGAAGCTCGTCAGCAGGCTTACCTTGATTCTCACGCCAAGACTGATACTACCATGGACATGGAGATGGAGCCACCAAAGGCATGTTTTTTTCTTTTTTTTTTATAGATCTGAATTTGAATTTCATTAAGTAATGAAGAGAGTTGGTAGAAAAAAAGCTTAACCAAGAATTTTTTCCTTGCCAGAAAAAGAGAAAAACAAGCACAATAATACCTCCTCCTCCACAGGCAAGTTTTAATATCTCAATTTTCTTAATGAAGTATGTTTGACTAGACTCCAAATGTGACACATAAAGCATGATGTTGATTTTACAGACTTTAGTTGAGGCTAATAAAGTGAAGAAGAAGTTGAAGAAGAAGAAGAAGAAGTTGATGAAGAAGATGAAGATGAAGCTATGAGCATCTAGAGGACGACTAAGAGGAAGAAGAAGAGTATACATGGGGCCTTGTTTTTCTCCAAGGAATTTCATTTGGTTAATGATTTTATTTTGTAGCCGGAAATGTTGGGTTAACTTATGAAGAAATACCATTTTAGATTTGTTATGCTAGTGTTCTCCGTGGAATATCATTTTCCATTGAAGGGATGTTGATTTTCTACTATTTTAAACATTCATTTTTCTGATGAATGCAAATGAATGAACGGAAGAAAACTTTATTTATTGATAGAACAAAAAGAACTTCACTTGAAACTACTAAACTAATGTTTCAATTCGGCTCCTTTTTTAAGCTAAAAAGCTAATCAGAAGAAACAAAAGCTAGATAACTCAAGACTTACATTGCATAAAAAATCTGGCTGGTGTATGTACACTACAAAATCTCTACGTTTATATTAAACTATAAAAAAAAAAAAAAATCTGATATTTTGCGCTAATAAACCCTAACAAAAATCCGTGTGTGGTCATGTATGTTTGTTCAGAGAGAGGACTGGCCTAGAAGTAGAGTATGCCACCAACCGCATGCGATGTTTTTGGGGACGCAATCTTTGATTCTGACTTCTGCTGGAGCATTCCTGTCTATCACATCTCCTAAACCCAACTGTTTCAAGACACACAACTATATCGTTAGTAAATATGCACATATAAATGGAACACAACAAATTCAGAAAAGCTCGATATGGCCTGCTTTTTACCTGCCCGTATTTGTTCCATCCCCAGCAGAATACTTTCCCTTCATCTGCGATTACAGCGGTGTGACGAGCACCGCAGGAGATGATTTTTACATTGACATTTTCCAAGTTTGGAGCCTCCAATAGTTTTGGAAGAGTCTGAAACATTAAGTTGGGTTTCAAGTTCAGTGGCAGGGCCTTCACAAACAATCAAATTAGCATTCACAAACAATATAGTTGATGATTTTACCTCAGCTTGATCACAACCAGTACCTAACTGTCCAAATTGGTTTCCGCCAAACGAATACACATCCCCATCAGATGAAGCACAGATCGTGTGCCATAGACCTGCAGCCACTTCTTCTATTCGGATTCCCAACAAAGACGACACACATGTAGGACTTAGTTCATCATCTGTACTTCCTTGGCCACACTTTAGAGAGCAACAAAAAAAAAATCAATTACTTCCACATACCCAACAAAAAGTGAAAATATAAGTTGCAGAGTTATAACAGGAGAAAGTTTCGATTATCTTTTCCAGTCTCATCTTAAATGCAGACTGGCATTTTTCCCTAATTATATGTTTTCTCAAACCTGAATCCTATATTGAATCTATGTTTTGGTATATATAAAATATCTTTTTGACAAGCTTTCCTCAACATGTGGGTTCAGCTGAAAGCAAGAATCTTAACTCATTCAAGTTTCAAGCATATGCTGTAATAAAGAAAGCCAGGGATCAGTCGTGCTCACCTGTCCATAGAGCCCCCAACCAAATGTAAGGAGCGCTCCAGTATCTGTCCACAAAAAACTCTTTCTTATTATATGCAAGGCAAGTATTGTTCTTCTGATATACCCTCAGATAATCTATGTCAAATTCTTGGGGTCTGTTCATAGTTATATAAAGGACTCCAAGAAGCCTAACAAGTGAACCTTAACCAAGGTATAGTGCAGAAATGAGCATATTTCAAAATCCTGATTACAGAGTATAAAGATTGATCTAAGGTTGGAATGCGTTGGTTTCAGTGATGTGGATTTAAACACTCATAAAATAGATGACTAGCCACAAAAGCAATATGGTGAGAACAGTACCTGTAATCACAGCACTGTGTCGCCCTCCACATGCAATTCTTTTTACATAACTTCCAAGAACTCGGCCGCATTGCACTTCTGAACTCATGTTTACACCAGAACTGGTGGCTTTTCCATAAGAAGAAGGCTCAATGCATGGAATAGGATGAGGAGAGGAGACTAGGCGCACACGGGAGCCCAATCCAAGCTGTCCTTCTCCTCCATAACCCCAACCCCACACCTGTCCAATATCTGGACTTCAGAAAAAGTTAGGATGCATCAGGTTATTATTATAGCACACCAGAAGCTCTTAAGCTTAATGGATACCGCCACTGATTGTTTTTCATAAGTGATGAATTTACAAGTGACATGGTGTGTGTGAAAAGCTGAAAATCTCACCTGATAATGCTAGAGTATGACGTCCACCAGCAGCAACACTAACAATCCTAACTCCAGGCGCCAACGATACAAGGCAAGGCAATGCCGAGAGGTCAATGTTGTCAGACTGTGATCCATTTTCAGCAGCTTGCTTTGACGGTGAAATCCGCCTTTTCTTTGTTGGTTCACCTCTAGCTTCAACTTGAGAAGACGTTCCACAGCTAGATTTTTTCCCTTGAGAACTGGGACTCACTGCAAAATAGGCACCATCCTTCACATTCATCCTCGATGTAACAAAACATAAAATTTAGAGCTGTCACAATGAAAAGAAACAGGTAAAGAAGATTTCACCTTGCTCTGTCGAGAAGGAAATGTTTCTTTCATACGAATCTCCCTCTACTTGTCCAAACACTCTCCCTGTGGGTATACATTCCCTCCATCCCCATGTATAAACTTCTTGATTCTCTGTATCCAATGAAACAATTAGCTCTAAAACAATAAAGTTATGAACTTGGACACAAATGTCTCTGTAAGCTAGTTCAGAACATGAAAATGTACCTGTTACTGCCACACAATGAGCCCATCCAGCCTCAGCTTTCTGTACACAAACCTCTGGAGGAAGAGGAAATGGCTGTGGAGTCTCCTACAAAGCAAGAAAATTGCAACTAAAACGCATAAAGTATAACTCAATTTTACAAGAAAATCAAATCAAATTCACACAAGGTAGGAAATCTAACACCGTGCTTGCCGGATGTGACATAGCTTTGACCTAGATCATCTGTCGAACCCCATGTAATTAGCTTCCCCGACTCTGTTTAACAAAACCATATCATTCAACTTCAAAATTGCTCATGATTTCAAATTAAACCATTCAAAAAAAATCAGATACATTTGTGAAATTGATTCGAGAATGTGAACTTTCAATTGAAATCAGTCTAAACCTGCAGTAGCCATTGCGAAACCGCATCCACCACCGGAGACATCTTTCCATGAACTTTCAACTGCCGGAGGAATCTTCACTTCGACCGGTGACATTAGAGGAGACCGTTGCGGCGAAGCTCCGGGTAAGTAACCCCACATGTACACTACTCTCTGGCCAACTTCTTCCTCCTCCACATGTACACCAGTCTCCAAGTTTGCCTCGCCATTCATATTCAGTTTTAAAAAAGCTGATGAATGAAGAAATCAGAAAGAAACAAGGAATGAGAAAAATATCAGTTTCCCAGAAAAGTTGACGTGTATTTATGTATAGCAAGGACTGCGAGGTTGATGGGCCTTTTTTTGTGTGAGAAAAAAGAAAAAAAATATCTTTGTAGTTTTACAATCTTCGATTTTATCCCCACATTTAGATTCTTATCATAAAGACCCCTCCATGGTAAAATCGAAAGCTCTATAATCAATAATTTCCTAAAAATCTTTTTTTTCTTTTGGTGAAAATTTCCTAAAATCTTTAAAGAGTTGTGGACATTAGCACATATACTTCTTGAATAAAATCAAAGTAGCTACTTCTTGGAATTTTTGCAACAGCTTTGCCGGAAAAAAGTTGAACTTCTTCACTAGTCACTTGTGAATAATTCTTCTCAAATGTATAATTGGTTTAAGGTAATGCAAATTACCTAAGTAAATGAGACTTTTTGTTTTGTTTTAAAGATTTCTGGTTTCATAATTAACCATGTTCCTAAAACAAATCACTAAAATTACTTTTTGTCAATATTCTTTTGGAATTCAAGTATTTCATAAACCTTCCTACTTATTTTATAGAAGTTTAACGTTAATTATGTTTAGTGATATTTTCAGTTGGATTGTTTTCCAAACTCAACCTCTTGAAATTGTCTATTTTATGTTTTCGTTCATTGCTGCATGAGGTCAACTCTGGAGGACAAATTGACTAAAACATACAAATTTAATTACTTATGTAATTAAGTTGATTTGAGAAATATAAAATTCCATGCATTTTCTCATTGATTATTTGTTTTCAATTACTTATTAAAAATTTCCAAAAATACTTTCTATTTCTTTCGAGGAATGGTGGTCAATCGATTGTAGAATCCTTTTGGACATAATAGCTTTCATTTTCCTCATTTTAATCAACAAACATATGATGCAAATTATTTAATAGGTTTAAACTTATGTTGTAGTATCAATATTTTGAAAGTGATGCAAATTAATATAGATATGTGTCAAACAATTCAATAATAGTGTCAATTATTGTAGCTGATATAAAACCATGTATATGTGTATTATCTATATTTAAGTAATTTAAATTAGTATCATTTATTTTTTTATAACCTCTAATTATTGTAGTATTTTTGTTTTTGTAGTGATGAATAACAATTAATTCGAAAAAGAAATTTTTTTCTATCTTGATCATAATTTGAATTCTTACAAGTTGTTGGGTTTAGCCGTTTAGGTGGAGAGGCATTTGAAATATCTTTTTTTTTTTTGCATTTGAAATATCTTATATTCATCAAAAACAAAAACAAAACATATGAAATATCTTGGGAAATATGTGAGCCAAGTAAAATATCTCTTTGGAATATATCTTGTGAGATATGTTGTAAGCCAAGTAAATATCTCAGTGGAGTATGTGGACCAAATTTTTCACTTGATGAGATCCATTTTTGTTAATACGTTATCTAAATATATATTTCCAGAAATAGGCTTTCCCTTTAGAAAGTGTTTTAAGACACGACCTTAGTTCTATTGACGAATGATTGATAAGGAAGGACAAAGGAGAGATTACAAGTGGATCAACTAACAGGGGCGATTTACGAAAGTAGCAATAAGTTTGGGGGTTGGTTCCAAAACAACGTATCATTATTTAGAAAACGAGAGTAGCCACGTAGGATAATTACATGGGGACTGAACATACAGGTGGCGAAATGTGAACCACTAAGTTTTTGACGAAATCTAAGCCAAGAGTTTGTGACGAAGTTTCTGGAAGCAGAAGTGTGGTATTGGTCCTTCATATGTCGGCTAAATTAGCCAGTGGGGTTCGTTTAATGATTATGATGACACGTCGCAGGCTTTGAGACGACGAATGGAATGAGTCACCATGTGGAACTTTACAAGAACCTGATCCTAGCCATCACTGCTTCGTTTTTTTTTTTTCAATAGTGTTTTCTTTTTGTGAAGAACAACATATGCAATTAGTCAAGAAGAATATGTTTTGGTTATATCATATATGGGTGATTTTATTATAACAATGTTATTTGTAGATAAAAACTATAAATTAACACTACATAGCGTAGTAATGTACACACTTTTATGCCAATCCAGAAAATTTTACTTTAAACTAATTAGGTTTTTGGTTTTATTTCAAAATCTCGTATATTTGCGTTTTCTCACTCTAAAGGATATTAAATTATTATAAAATATTAACAAAAAAATTCTTAACCATAAATGGAAACACTATTTTTTTTTTATCAAAGTACACTATTTAGTATGATGAAATTTTCTCAAAATTTAAAATTAATTTTGCTTTATCTCATGATATTCATGCGGAAGAAGAAGAATAAATACCTCATGTCTCATGATATACTTAAAACCATAGAAGTTTATAATAAATTATGTATTCTTAATATATAATTAATGGAGATGAGTGAAAGATACTATTTAATTTAGAACGTAGGAAACTTTTTAAGTTTTGTTTAAATTTTAAACTCCATCCGTATGTGCGAGACTGCTAGTGATTGATTAGTGGTGTTATCCAAAGTTATGACCACAAGTCACAACAATGTATCCATCTATATGTTCATGCGTTTAACAAAGGCAATGAAGAAGGTAAACAAACCAATCCGTGTGACAAAAACTCACACGTTAAGCGTGTAATTCAACCATCACTTGCAACATCTTTATATGAAAAGCATATATAAAGAACCCTCAAGAACATAAACACATGCATATTTCCACATCAGAAGCAAAACAGAACAAAAAACAGAGGATTCTATATATAATTTTATTGTACAGTATATATGGATGTCGAAAATGGCAAGAACGGTGAAGCGAGTGTGTTTCGAATGCCTCTTCATTACCCAAGATACTCTAAAAAAGATTACCAAGACATGCCAGAGTGGAAGCTCGACAGGGTTTTAGCAGATTACGGTTTGTCTACTTATGGTGACTTGGCTCACAAGCGAGACTTTGCTATTGGAGCTTTTCTCTGGATTTCAACTCGTAATCCAAAGCTTAATCAAGACAAGTCCATCAACTCCAAACCGACGAAAGATACAAAATCAGCTCATGCATAAGGTTTTTACGGCTACTAAGCTTAGGTGTTACAATAAACAAATTGGTCTATGTTATGCTTACAAAATGATGTAATAAAGAAACATGTAAATCAAGAGTTTCGTATAGTAATGTTTGGAAGCAGTTAATAACAAGGGTCAGAGAAGTTAAATGGTAGTTTATCGCCTTGTGAAAACAATTTCAAGATCGTATATCTTCATTCTCACTAGCCTCATATTTGGAACGAGTACTTAGAATTCATTATTTTAATTGGACTTAGAAAATCGCTCTTGAACAAACCAAAACAGAGTACTACTTGAGAGTTGAGCGTGGCAACAGAACCACAAGGCTGGTCTTGAGAGTCTAAACTAGGTCTTTTAAACTTTGAGGCCAATTTTTTCGAAGAGTCTTCAGTGTAACCAGTTCAAGCTTTTTTTCTCCCTCATCTGTTCAAGTTTTTTCCCCAAAATTTTTATTAAAAAGTAGACCAAGTTTTTTGGGTCTGAGACAGACTTCAGGGCCCAAGAAGCAGCACATACTGTATGTAACCAAACCCACCAATGATTTTTTTTCTTGTGTTGGCAACAAGAAAGCCACCAATGAATTAAGAAAAGTTAAAAATCTTTATTTACGAAATAGGTACCTTAAGAAATCATGATGTACGTTGTATATTGTTGTTAACTTGTTATGTATATAGATTTTGGTCCCCAAAAAAAAAAAATTCAATGGTGATCTTTATTGATGAAGTCGGTTTATAATAAGTAACAACATATCACAGTATAAGATCATCAGAAGCGAATTGAAAAATTCAATTATTTAAGATTTGGGGCGCATGGGGTGGTCTTCCCCAATTCTTTGGCGGTTTGTCGCCGGGATCACTGTAATCCACATGAGCAAACAACGAACCTTTAAGCATACACTCCTCTGTGTCACATTTTCGCTTCACTTCCAATCTCTTTATAATTCTATACGGAGTACTAACTAATCTACGGCATGCACATGCATATTAATATCTTTGTTATGTTTTGGTTTCAATGTTCATCATTAGTCTTTGATATATTGTTTTGAAGACTTACGTGTGTGTTCAATGTTGTTATATAAAAAAGATAGATGTGTAAATCGATCTAATTTTTTGTTTGGATTTAACAATCGAACATTTATGTTTGGATTTCTTGCAAGGTGTTTGAATGACTTGTATATGTCATTTTAATTTAGATTGGTGAGAAATAAGATACATAAATGATAGAGATATAGAGGTAGGTAATAGATGGAAAAAAAAAAATATAGAGGTAGGTAATTAGGTATATTCATAAATATGATTTTTTTCCCGTCTAATAAATAGATGAATTTAAAAGGCGACAAAAAGACATAAATATATGGTATAATGTAACGTTCCGTTCTAGTGGCCATTGGGGCCGGTGGTGTCCTCCTTTTTATTCACTTCATTAAAGAAGTGAGACCAAATTCATTATTTTTAGTAGTGTTATTTTCTTTTTGACATCAGACCTAATTTAATATTATTATTAGTATTTGATAATAGTCAAACAAAATATACAACGAATTAAAATTCCAATTTCTCAAGCGGGAAATAAAATTTCAAGATGGGGTATGTGAGTTTTTTGTCATCAAATTGTCGTCATCGAATTCAATGTCTTTAAATTCTTTAGCATTTCCTTTTTCTTTTCTTTCTGGTAATGGGTTTATCCCGTAGCATTCATAACAGATAGTCAAATGTCACACCCTCTCTTGCATATTATCCAAAACATATGGGTATATATGAATTTTCAAAGAATTTTCCCTTTCTTTTTTTTGTCTGTTTTCGCTTTTAAATATATTGATCTAGCTGATCTTGTTTTTTTAATGTATTGATCTAGTTATAAAATTATAACTGATGAAACTAGAAAACAATTAATTTAGTGTGAGTTGACAAATGTTTATAGCTTAATCTATACTATATAAAAGTCAAAAAAAATTTGAAGTTGATTGTTTCTCCACTATTAAACCAAGAAGAAAACAAAGACAACTTGTTACCATATCAGAACCAAGAAATTGACAATTGAGGTATGGGGGTATTATAGTAATTTCCAAACGGGTCCACAAAAGTGAACAATCAAGGGGTAGTGAGAGAGAAGGAAGAAGAGACAGGCGTCTAGAGAAGCTCGCTCAAAAACTTTTGCACGAACACCTAAAAGTTCAATGGTCCAAAAGGACGGCTCTGGTCGAGAGAGAGAGAAGAGAGGACCGCTTCAGAGACCTTAATCACGAAAGATCAAATCACAATTCAATACCAATCCCTTATCGTACGCCTCTCTTCCTTCAGTCCTTTTAACGTACGCATGCTCTCAATATCTTCCAAAGTACAATATAGAAAGAGACGGTAATAATAAGCAAGACTTCACGACTTTCAAAGTACAAAATCCTGCCCAGAAAAAAAAAAAAAAAAACCTGTTGGGTCTAATCTTTCTCTCTCTGTCTCTACTTCTTTTGATTTTACCCTTTTTTCAGTAGCAAGCAAAAAAAAAAAACAGACAAAGAATTTTCTTTTATGATAAAGGTAAGTTTTTTTATTCGGAGGGAAGATTTTTGTGTCTTTTTTTGGTGATTTTTTTCCTTGTTTAATCTTAGCTTTTTGGGAATATTGCTTAAAGGAAATTTCTTTTGTGCGTTTTCTTGTTGTTCTTGTAGATCTGATTCTGTTTCTTTGTCCTTTTTCTTTCTTCTCTCTCAGGTATGATGATAGCAAACAAATGATACCCCCATGTCTTGTGTGTCTGCTTCATGCAACATGTTGGTTTGGATTTGGTTAATCTAGAGTTTAAGATAAGGTTTTCGGATTCTCTTCCTGTCTTGTAATAGTTTCTTGTCGGAGAGCCATCAACAACAACTACTACAAAAAAGAAAAAGAAAAAAAAACGCTTCTTTTTTATTTCCATTAGAGAAGATAAAAGGGAAAAAATCAATGGCGAATCCTTGGTGGGTAGGGAATGTTGCGATCGGTGGAGTTGAGAGTCCAGTGACGTCGTCAGCTCCTTTGCACCACAGAAACAGTAACAACAACCCACCGACTATGACCCGGTCGGATCCAAGATTGGACCATGACTTCACCACCAACAACAGTGGAAGCCCTAATACTCAGACTCAGAGTCAAGAAGAACAGAATAGCCGAGACGAGCAACCAGCTGTTGAACCCGGATCCGGATCCGGGTCTACGGGTCGTCGTCCGAGAGGTAGACCTCCTGGTTCCAAGAACAAACCAAAGAGTCCAGTGGTTGTTACCAAAGAAAGCCCTAACTCTCTGCAGAGTCATGTTCTTGAGATTGCTACGGGTGCTGACGTGGCGGAAAGCTTAAACGCCTTTGCTCGTAGACGCGGCCGTGGTGTTTCTGTGCTGAGCGGTAGCGGTTTGGTTACTAATGTTACTCTGCGTCAGCCTGCTGCATCTGGTGGAGTTGTGAGCTTACGTGGTCAGTTTGAGATCTTGTCTATGTGTGGTGCTTTTCTTCCCACTTCTGGTTCTCCGGCTGCAGCTGCTGGGTTAACCATTTACTTAGCTGGAGCTCAAGGTCAAGTTGTGGGAGGTGGGGTTGCTGGCCCGCTTATCGCCTCTGGACCGGTTATTGTGATAGCTGCTACGTTTTGCAATGCCACTTATGAGAGATTACCGATTGAGGAAGAACAACAACAAGAGCAGCCGCTTCAACTAGAAGATGGGAAGAAGCAGAAAGAGGAGAATGATGATAACGAGAGTGGGAATAATGGAAACGAAGGATCGATGCAGCCACCGATGTATAATATGCCTCCTAATTTTATCCCAAATGGTCATCAAATGGCTCAACACGACGTGTTTTGGGGTGCTCCTCCGCCTCGTGCTCCTCCTTCATATTGATAGTTAGATAGGCGGTGGTTGGTGCGTTCTTTTTGCTGGAATGATTATATTTCCCTTTAGGATGGTTAGGCTTTTGTTTATTAAGCTATCAAGTTTCTTTTTACGGGTAATTCAGATGACAATTAGCTAGTGTTTGTTTGTTTGTTTTGTGACGGCTATTACTGGTTTTTCTGACTTGACTATTTTGATCACGGATAGCTTTGTATGAAGGTGAATTGATTGTAGAATCCTCTTTGATAAAGCAATGGTTTGTGGCTTTTGCAATGGAAGCAATGGTTCCTTTCTTAGTGTTGGTAAGCTTGATTCTTTTCCAAATTTTGCTGTTTGTTAATCAATCCATCTCAATTGCTTGATGCATTATTAGATCTTTGCTCTTCATACTCTTTACTTGCTGAGGCGGATTGGATTAGATTAGATTAGCTTGTGTATTTAGCTCTATTACTTTGTTCTTCTTGAGCTTGTAAGGGAGAGGTTTGCGTGCAGGTAGATACCATACTTATATGTTGCTATTAGAAAGTTTATATATGCTGCATTTTGAATCTTTAGTGCTTTTGACACTAGATTAAGTCAAACAAAACCGGATTCTAGCTTTGCGGGCGAGTAATGTTGTTGAGGTCTTATCATTTATGTGCTTATAGAGACTTGTGTAGAAACTTATATGTTGCTATTAGAAAGTTTATGTATGCAGCATTTTGAAACTTTACTGCTTTTGACATAAGATTAGAGCATATACAAAACCGGATTACCGGATTCTAGCTTTGCGGGGGATTAATGTTGATGAGGTTTTATGTGCTTAAAGTGACTTGTAGAGAAACTTTCTCATTGACATGTGTTCGTTGTTTACTGTTCTAGTGAGCATTGTTTGTTAGCTGAGGAATTTCAACAAAGTTGATTTCATTGGTCCCAAAAAGCATGATTTATCAAAACTGTGTTTTTCCCAAAATGTATGGATCTTTGGCATTGTCTTTGGTCTTAAAAATATTCCTTTTATGGTATATCAAAAAAACATGAGTACGGAATATATGGTCCCATCGTAACTAAACTCCGTAGCAATTTTGTATGTCAACGGCTAAGTACAAATTTGTAATCTCAACTCCTCGGATCATTTTGTTTTTCTTTTCACGGCAACTTTTGTGACATAGTAAAGGTGATATTTGTGAAAATATTGTTGCCTCGGTTTAGACTTTGATTGTTTATGTGTGTGAGATTGCATCTAAAAGAATATTTTATCTCGCAAATGTGAATTGCGTTATTCTTTTTTAAAAATGAAAAAAAACTTGAGAAATTGTTAAAAATGCCCCTTTTTCAATACCCCTTTTCAAAAATGCCCCCTTTGAGAGTCCATTTTTAAGTTTGCCCTCTTTTATTTTTTAATGACCATTTTACCCTTATTTGAAACAAAATTAGGTCCACAAAATACAAAATATTTTTTGGCGGGAAAAGTGATCCCGCAATTTTCCCGCCAAAACACTTGTAAAAAACCTTTAAAATACCTTGTAAAATTTTCCCGTAAAAATTTTTCCAGCCAAAAAATTTTTTTTGCGGGAAAAGTGATTCCGCAATTTTTTTGGCGGGAAAATTTTTGGCGGGAAAAATTTACAAGGTTTTTTAAAGGTTTTACAGAGTATTTACAATTGTTTTGTAAGGTTTTACAATGTATTTTAAAAGGTTTTACAAGGTACTTATAAGGTTTTATAAGGTATTTATAACTTGTAAAACCTTATAAAAAACTTGTAAAACCTTATAACTTGTAAAACCTTATAAAATTGCTTGTAAAATCTTATAATATCTTATAAATACCTTATAAATACGTTGTAAAACCTTTTAAAATACATTGTAAAACCTTATAAATACCCTGTAAAATACCTTGTAAATTTTTCCCGCCAAAAATTTAACGCCAAAAAAATTGCGGAATCACTTTTCCCGCAAAAAAAAATTTTTGGCGGGAAAATTTTTTGGCGGGAAACAATTTTACGGGAAAATTTTACAAGGTATTTTAAAGGTTTTTATAAGTTTTTACAAGTGTTTTGGCGGGAAAAATTGCGGGATCACTTTTCCCGCCAAAAAATATTTTGTATTTTGTGGACCTAATTTTGTTATATTTCCTTATAAATTTGTGATATATTTTATTAAAAGAAGGGTAATTTAGTCATTTTGTACATAAAAAGGGGTATTTTTAAAAATGGACAGCCAAAGGGGTCATTTTTGAAAAGAGGTATTGAAAAAGGGGCATTTTTGTGAGTCTCCCAAAAAACTTTCGCAAATACTTCAATATAAAAGTTAGCTTTTCGAAATTCTTGATTTTTCAAAAAATTTAATTAGCATATTCCTACTATATATTATTCGTTATTTCATCATTCTACTGTTACAGTTTAGTGATCACCACAATCAACGTAAATCGTGTTCCATTTTCTTCAGTTTTTATTAACTTTTTAACCATTTTTTCCAACAACCCTTTTTCTTGAAGGACTTTTATCCTTGGTTGGCCGTTAATCAATCCAAAACATCACCTTTACTATGTCACAAAAGTTGCCGACATTTATTTTTTTTCAGTGTCTTTGTTCGATGATTGATCGACTTTTTCTTCCTATCCAAGAATATTCTTCTTACTTATCGTTTCTGAATGAAAATTTGTTCCAATCCAATAATTTTCAATATCAAGTGGATCATTTACACAATCCACACTATATCTATATAAAAACTTGAGTCGTGACGATACTCCAGCATATCTAATTGATGAATATTTATCGAATGGTGAAAGTATATAAAGTTATTGGTTTTAGTATAGTACTTATTCCAAGATATCGTCCTTGGTGCCGAACCACGTTACTAAAATTGTGTCCAGAGTCCAGACGGGGAAAGGGTATTCTCATACCCGTATAATTTGCAAAGTCTGTTTTCATATCTTAACAAACACGTAGGGTTAATTCCAATCTAAACCGTAAAAAAATTTAAATTTCATACCCAAACTTTAGATTTACTGGTTTTTTTCGGAGTCGTAATTAACCAGTATTAGTCAACTGTTACGGTTGCTGAATCAACTAACACGTATTTGTGACCTTTTAATTTTTTTAGGATTCCCTTGAAGAAACTTACTGTAAAAAGTTTTGTCAAAAAAAAAAAAAATCTACTATAAAGACTTATGGAGAATTGTATTTTTAACTATTTATAAATTTCAACAAACGGATTAGAACATGTACCATCCTCTTCATATATTGTTTCAGGCCTACATATAATTTTTCAAACAATTAGAAGAAATTTAGTAGATCGTTTGATTACTACTTATACGTACTTTCTCATCTATTAACAAAATCGGAACCAAAATGAAATGGTACTAACCTCGTATTATCGTATTTTAATGTTAGATTTGAATTCTCTGTTTAAATATTAAATATCATAAAGTTTCATCTGTCTAGAAATAATCACATGTTCCTCTAGAACCAACATCATTCACAGCATCACATGCTTTTATAATCTTCACCATCTTCTTTACCTATCCTCCAAATAGATCATATGTTAGAACTATAACCCTAATACCTCATTAACCATTACTCTCTTTACTTCTCTCCCAAGAAAACAATTCTTGATGGCCCAGACCTTTGTTTTCATCTGGTTACTACTCATCTATTTGACACACTTAGTTTCATCTCTAACTCAAGACTTCTCCTTCGTTGGCTTCAAAAAAGGCTCACCAAATCTTATCATAACCGGAGTTGCAGAGATCGCTGCCACTGGAGCCATCAGGCTCACAACAGACACACAGCGCGTGATCGGTCACGCTTTCTACTCCTTACCAATCCGGTTCAAGCCAATTGGTGTAAACCGAGCTCTATCTTTCTCCACGTCTTTTGCAATCGCCATGGTTCCAGAGTTTGTTACTCTTGGAGGCCATGGACTTGCCTTCGCCATCACTCCAACTCCAGATCTCAGAGGTTCTCTTCCTAGCCAGTACTTAGGCCTTTTGAATTCAAGCAGAGTTAACTTCTCGAGCCACTTCTTCGCTGTGGAATTCGATACTGTCAGGGATTTGGAGTTTGAGGATATCAATGATAACCATGTAGGAATCGATATAAACAGTATGGAATCGAGTACTTCGACTCCCGCTGGCTATTTCCTCGCTAATTCAACCAAAAAAGAGCTTTTCCTCGATGGTGGTAGAGTGATTCAAGCTTGGATTGATTACGATTCAAACAAGAAAAGGTTAGATGTTAAAATTTCTCCATTCTCAGAGAAACCAAAGTTGTCTCTTCTCTCTTACGATGTTGACCTGTCCTCTGTTTTGGGAGATGAAATGTATGTTGGATTCTCTGCTTCGACCGGTTTGCTAGCTAGTTCACATTACATCTTAGGTTGGAACTTTAACATGAGTGGAGAAGCATTCTCTCTGTCTTTGCCATCTCTCCCTCGGATTCCTAGTTCAATCAAGAAGAAGAAGAAGAAGAAGAGGCAGGGTTTGATTCTTGGAGTATCTCTCTTGTGTTCCCTTTTGATCTTCGCGGTTCTTGTCGCTGCATCGTTGTTCGTAGTAAAAAAGGCGAAAGATGAAGACAGAGTTGAAGAATGGGAGCTTGATTTTGGTCCGCATAGATTTTCTTACAGAGAGCTCAAGAAAGCTACGAATGGTTTTGGGGACAAGGAGCTTCTCGGGTCTGGCGGGTTTGGTAAAGTATACAAAGGAAAGCTCCCGGGTTCAAACGAATTTGTAGCCGTCAAGAGAATCTCTCACGAGTCAAGGCAAGGTGTACGAGAATTCATGTCTGAGGTCTCAAGCATTGGCCATCTCAGGCATAGAAATCTTGTTCAGTTGCTTGGTTGGTGTCGACGGCGGGATGATTTGCTTCTTGTCTATGATTTCATGCCTAATGGAAGCTTAGACATGTACTTGTTCGACGAAAACCCTAAAGTTATCTTGACTTGGAAGCAAAGATTCAAAATCATAAAGGGGGTTGCGTCCGGTTTACTCTACCTACACGAAGGATGGGAACAAACGGTTATTCACCGCGATATTAAAGCTGCAAATGTTTTGTTGGATGGGGAAATGAACGGGCGGGTGGGAGATTTCGGTCTTGCTAAGTTATATGAGCATGGATCGGACCCGGGGGCTACAAGAGTGGTTGGTACATTTGGGTACTTAGCACCAGAACTTACAAAATCCGGAAAATTGACAACAAGCACCGATGTTTACGCGTTTGGAGCGGTTTTATTGGAAGTTGCTTGCGGAAGAAGACCTATCGAAACAACTGCATTACCAGAGGAGCTTGTAATGGTTGATTGGGTTTGGTCAAGATGGCAAAGTGGAGACATTAGAGATGTTGTGGACAGGAGATTGAACGGTGAGTTTGATGAAGAGGAAGTGGTTATGGTGATCAAATTAGGGCTTCTCTGCTCAAACAATTCGCCCGAGGTTCGACCTACAATGAGACAAGTGGTTATGTATCTCGAAAAGCAGTTTCCCTCGCCTGAAGTTGTTCCTGCACCGGATTTTTTAGACGCAAATGATAGTATGTGTTTTGATGAGCACAGAGGTAATGCAGGCGAGTTTGAGGATTTTGTGGATTCAGCTAGGTTTTACAGCGGACCGAATGAAACTACTACTTCGTCGGTATTCTCCTTCTCCGGTAAAACAAGAACTGATCCAAGATAATAGGTTCTTTTAACCACGTTTTGGTAACGTTTTCAAATCAAAATATTTCACAATGAAAACAAGTAATCTGAATGTTAAAATGTAAAATATTTTCATCATATGCTGCTTTTTTCAGTTAACTACTTTGAGCTGATGCTTAAAGTTTTGTGTTGATCGTTTTTCCCTAATCATATAGTTATCATAACCTGATTTTGAACGTAGAAACTCTGCTAACTTTCTTTTGCATCCAGGAGAGTTTTGAAGAACCCATATCATCTTAAGCAACATTAAACCCACCAAAAGGTCATTAGCCCAGTGATTTAACAAAATAAAGTGTTTTGACTCTGGAGTCATTGGATTGAATCTGTGATGAACAAAATGTTCTACATGCATCTCTCTCAATGTCTGATTTAATGAGATCGCAGCTAATTCAAATCTCAAGTTCAAGATTACAACCAAAATAGAGATAATTCATTTTCAGTTATAGAACAAATATCTCGGAACAGAGAACAAGGATTCTTCTATGATTTTTTTTTTTTGTAAAGCTCAATAAAAAGAACATAAACGATGAAGGTTTTGTCTATAAAAAAGACATAAAAACAAAATTAGATGCATTTAAAAAAAGAAAAAAAAAAAAAAAGTTGGCGAAACAACAACACTAGCATAAACCATTAGTGGTGGTAATTTTGCGGGTCTATGTTGTTAAAATAAGAGAGTAACTTCCCCTTCTTAACCATGAAGTAAGGAAGCTCGACATCAGTACTAGTTTTTGCAGCGGACTGGCTCAAGCTTTCAAGTGTGTCTTGAGGAGTAACATCAACATAACGGAGGATGTCATTGTAGATAACATAAGACCCATTTTGACTACGCGCCACATAGAAAAATTGCAAAAACTTCCTCTCTGTTTTGTCGTCTAGAGTCACGAAACCGCATACCATGATAAAGATTCTATCTTTAAAGGATCTGCAGATCTGATAATCCACACTATTCAATATAAAATTAGAAGCCCTCCTATGCTCATTGGAGACCCTCTTGTTGATTGCCTGCACCAAAAAAGTAACATTATATTCCATTAAAGATGATTGAAATTTCTCTAGAATATAATTAATCCATTGGAAGGGGGTTTTGCAACTTACATCAAGGCCTGGCATCTCGACCATTGTTCTACCAGAAGTCGAAGTCGGTCTGCTCATAACACTTTCATTGACATACATCAAACCAACTTCCTCACGCATAGGCAACTCGTAGTAAACCTTGACAAATCCAGCTGCAAAATCTGTTATATATAGTCACACCAAAACTAAGTTAGTAAGTTTTGTAATCTCTTAAAATTGAATCAAACACAATTTATACAGCTATTTACCGGATTCAGGAACAGAAGGTAATGCTGGTATTGAATCGATATAGCGGAGGATATCATTGACAATGGCATAAGACCTATCTTGACGACGTGCTAAATACAAAGATTGAACAAATCTCCTCCTCAATTGTTTGTCTTTACAAGTCAAGAAACCAGTAACCATGATAAATGCTCCATCTTCAGAACTAGAATTGCAACTCTGAGCAGCAAAACTCATCACATCAAACGAAGCACCTTCATAGTCGCATGAAACGATTTGCTCCATAATTGCCTGCACCATCAAGAAAATGTTTGTCCTTATAAATGGTTATACGTTTTGAAAACGTGAGTACAGACTTTTTGGACTTGTTAAAAATATAACTAAAAGAATTGTTATTAAAAATACGATTGTTCTACAAAAACTAGAGTATTTCCGCTATTAAATCATTATTAATCTCACATACAGTTAATATAATTACTCCAAACCAGAGTTTTCGATTTCAACAACAAACATCAAACTATAAAAACAGAAACTGAGAAAGATTTGATCTGATTAATAATAATACCTCAGGTGATGTAAAAGACATCATTGTACCATCAGGACCGGGTCTAGTCATAACACTGTCGTCGGCATACCACATCATGTGAACTACCTCGGGATAGACTCCAAGATTCAGGAAGTAAGATTGGAGAAAGCAATTGGCTAATGCTTCGGAAGTATTTAAATTCGTGAAGTGAGATTGTATAAAGTCATTGGCTAACAATACGGACGGATCAACATCTTTCATCATGGAATCCATATCTGCACCAAAACCCTAGGAAAGACGAAGTAAGTATCCAAAGCAAACCCTAGATATCAAAATCTCTCTAAAACAAACTTCTCTCTCTGTTGAGAACTTGAGATCAATCGCTGATCGATTTAAAGGAATCACGGGAAGATCAGAGAGAGGCGGTAGTTGTGAGACGGTTTGGATTTTGGAAACCTATATATGCGTTCCATTGAACTTCTTTATATATGGTTTTATTTCATTATATTTAAAATATTAATACAATATTAAATTAAATTTTATAAGGAGAATGATAATTTGGAGAAAAAAAAGGGAATTACGATAATAAACAGCCTTCTTAAAAGAGAGAACTTTCTTGATTTCATGACAAAAATATAGTATATCCTTGAAAATTTAGTTGGCGATGAAATCAATAAATTATGGTGGGTTCATATGTAATAGATGATCACCTATTACATTAAAGGATGGTAAAAGAAAAAAAAAGCCCTGTAAACAATCAAACAAAGTTTCTCAAGTTCTACTATAGCAGCTACGGAAAACAAGTTATAGATGAATAACGTTTTTCAACTTGGTAAGAAAAATAACTAGTACCCAAATATAAACCACAACTCCGCAATACAATTTCTTTTTGTTCTTTGAATTTGTTTATCTCCCAGTACAACACAAAGTAGTACCTAGTAACATCTTAAAACCAAATTCGGATTTAAATCCAAATACCGTTTTAAAAAAAAATTGATCAAACACAATGATTTGAAAACATGTAGAATTTTGAATAATACTAAAACTAAAAGCTACATAAAAATAAAAATGGGTTCTTTTCATAATAGGAATAAGTAATAACTAAAACTAATTTGGAGAATTCTGTTGAATTCAACACTTTGTAATCTTAAAAATTTCAGATATGTCAAACTCTTAAATTTGAGCTACATAACTTTTAAACTCATATTCTATAGTAATCTTAAAATTTCAGATAGTCCATTAAAAGCTACCATAAAGCTTTCTAAGAGCATCTCCATTGGGAGTGTCTAGGTGAGACACTTTCCAATAAAACAGAATAAAAAATTAAAAAAGGAGGAGAGAGGACAGAAACTGTTTCTCATTTGAGAAACTCTGAGACACTCATTTTTATAGTTGTATTCTTCTGATTGGTTTAAATAAACAATTAAATAATAAAATAATTAAATAATAAAAAATAAATATTATTTTATTTGTTAGACACTCAATAGAGTGTCTGACCGCTAGAGATGCTCTAACCGTATCGAGTCAGAAACTATTATACCCGGTACCCGGTACCCGGATCCGACAAGAAGTATTGCTTCACATTTGGCAACTCAGAACTTGCGGGTATGGAAATGTTTGTAATTGGGAATCATCATCAACAAAACGTGTGGATGGAGTATGATCTTGCACATACAAAAGTTGGATTTGCTAATGACGTTAAATGTGATCAAGCGAGTAAACTTCTTCGATCGCAACTTTGAAAACAAATTTTGTTTTTATTTTTTCTAGTCATAAGGTTATAACTCTTGTTATTTTCTCCCAATCCAATATTGTTTTATCATTCTTTTTCATTGTATCCTTTTATCATTTATGAATCAAACTTTATGTTTTGGTATTTATATACAGTCACTAATGGAAGTTCCGTTGTTCTCCTCAATCGAATTTTTAGGTATATAAAACTGTTTTTAACTTTACATAAATTTAGATGCATGAAGTAATGAGAGTAGGAGCCAAAAGAGAAAGATTTGGTAACACCAAAACGACGACGTTGTTTAAGATAGTGCGTCAGCATCACTTAACCATATGAAATTAATGGTGTCTGAATGAAGACAAAAACTATATCCTCAGGGTAGCGATAACTCGGTCCGAGTCGACTCGGTCCGACTGCGATTTTAGTGACTCCGTCGTCACCACGCCTATGTTACGTGAGTAAATCCGACTCTTCTCCGTAGATTTCTCCACCTCCAGGTGAATTTCTCTTCCGATCTCTAGTTCCGTTCAATTCAATTATTTGATCGATGAATGAAACCTTCTCGTTACCTCATTTCAATCTCTTCGCTTATGTGAAAAGATTCGTGTTATTGATAGGGTTAAATTCATCTCCTTTAATTGCTGTGATCGACATGGTTTCTCGAGCTCTAGGCCCTCTAGTTTAGTTTTGGGTTTTTGAATTGATTTAATTGAACCAAATTTAGATTCAGTGACATTTTAGTACTCTCTATGTCTTGCCTTTGTGTTATTGCATGATTGATAATATAATAATTGTTTGAGCAAATTTTCTTTTGCAGGCTCTTTTGTGAATTTGGAAAAGATGAGTTTTGTTTTCCGGGGAAGTAGAGGAGATTTAGAAAGTGGATTCTCGGGTTTTATACCCGAAAGACGAGCTATGGTATGCATCCTCTTGGCAATTCTCTAATGCAGGAAACATATACAATGATTTTTGTCAGAATGTTTTACTTATTGGAAGTGTCTTTTGGTATTGGTAAACACTACAGCGTGTTCATGGAGCTCGACCAGTTAATTCTAATTCCCTCGCTTTTCTGGTTACAGGTATATAACTTTCAACTTCTATGTTATCTTCAGTTATGATGTAAATACTTGTTTGGTTTGTGTATTGCAGTTCTTTTGCTGTTTATGATTCTCAATTCACATCAGATGCCTCCTAATTTCCTGGTATGTCAAGTACATAAGATAAAGTTTGTTTGTTTTTTTAGTTAGTCGTCTTTAGGGTATGAGTTTGACATTCCACAAATTTGTAGCTGTGGCTTGTGCTTGGGGTTTTTTTGATGGCAACGACACTTAGGATGTATGCGACTTGCCAACAACTTCAAGCTCAGGCTCAGGCTCATGCTGCAACAGCAAGTGGCCTCTTCAGCCACACTGAGCTGAGGTTGCATGTGCCTCCATCCATTGCTCTTGCTACGAGAGGGCGTCTTCAGGGACTTAGGCTCCAGCTGGCTCTTCTTGATCGGGAGTTTGATGACTTAGGTCAGTTAATTCTGGATAGAATTCGATTTCGTAGTACATTTTAAGATTGGATATGCCATTATCATCCGGTTGTCCCTTTTTTCCTAGTCTACTTTAATAGTTTGCTCTCTATAGTTGAAGTCTGAGGCAAAAGTTGTTCTGCTGCAGATTATGAAACTCTAAGAGCACTTGATTCTGATAATGTTTCCACAACTTCTATGAGCGAGGAAGAGATAAATGCACTTCCAGTACACAAGTACAAGACGTTGGATCCTGAAAAGTGAGTATCTAACGTACCCTGTCTCTCCTTTAATAGTTTAAAATGTTTTCAAAAGTGGAAACTTTGAGGAATAAAGAAAACTAAGTTAGGAGCTGTGACATAGCAACTTGTAGAGATAGACCTTATGTTCCTTAACAGGGGAAGGGACGGTGGTAGAATTTACAACTTAATAAGGTATTGACTGTCCAATGAGTTACTAAAGATATGTTTTTCAATAGAATCTTCTAAATTCATGGATTCCGTTGATCCCATGACTTCTTTAATTAATCGTTAGGCCCTAATTTAGAGTGGAAATCTTTAATGAACATTTCAATTTGTTACTGAGATAAACTTTTCTCAGCTTTCATAGCTCAAGGCTTTTTTGTTTCCGTAACAGATTTGTCTAATTATTGTGAATGAATCTGTATTAACGGTTTTTGGCTTGTGTTCGTATTTTGTTGACAGTGGTTGCTCTTTGGCAAAGCAAGCATCAACCTCATCCTCAGCTGAGGTATGACATATTCCCATTTTCCCCAAAATAGCAGATATACAAAAATCACATTTGAACTGGTCAATACTCAGTTTCATGTTGTTTTCCTCTTGTTCGAAGCAGAATAAGCAAGACTCTGTCACTGAAAGTAAAAAAGGAACAGAAGATGAGCTCACTTGTAGTGTTTGCCTGGAACAAGTTACTGTAGGCGAAATCGTTCGCACCTTACCTTGCTTGCATCAGGTTTCCATCTTAAACTAAAATCATAGTCTTGTGCATTTTATTGTCCCACGACTAATACACATCCGTTTGCTCAGTTTCATGCAGGATGTATCGATCCCTGGTTGAGACAGCAAGGAACATGTCCTGTCTGTAAATTCAGAGCTCATTCAGGATGGCAAGAACAAGATGAGATCGATGATGATGCTTCCGACATGGTTTAAAAAGTTTGGATTCCGACACTTGTTATGTTATTAATGTGTGTGAGAATTAAACCCCAAACAAATCATGTAATGGTCAATATGATAAAACTGATGACTCTTGCCTTTCCAAAAGTTTGATTTAGACTCGTCATGAAATAGTAGTATCAAAGGGTTACATCCACTGGTATTTTTGGTATTGACTTATTTAGCTTTGCCTTTGCCTTTTCCTTTGCCTTGACCCTTCTTAGCGTCTAGCTTAGCTTGAATCCTAGCAGCTGCAGCAGCTTTTGCTTCTTCTCTCTTTTTCTTATCATCCTCTTTGGCAGCTGCAGCAATCTCTCTCTGCTTCTTCAGATCTCTGCAACCATAACCACGACCATAAGCAAAAGGGATTTTATATGCCTACAGAGACGAAATCACATAGGTCCAAGTGTTGTCATGCTTACTCTAGTCTGGCTCTCTCCTCAGAAACACTTCCAACACTAGCACCTTTCCTCGGTCTACAAGCAACTAATTCCACTTCAAAGATCAAAGTTGCACTGCAATTACCAAACATGTCAATTCCAAAAAACACTCTCACAGTCGCACGCCTTGAACCAGAGGCAAGAAGTGTGTAACATAACATACTCGGGTGGGATGTCGGGAGGAGACCCTGCTCTTCCGTAAGCATATTCTGGCTTACATGTGATTTTTGCAACTTCACCAACCTGAAAAAAATGTTGGCCAATCAGTTGTATATAACTGAATACTGAACACTTCAGACTGAAAAAAGATAGAAGAAAGAGACAAATAATAGAACCTTCATGGTTTTAAGTGCAATGTCCCATGATCGGATAACACTGCCTGTTCCTAACTCAAAAGAGAAAACCAGATTGTCTTCGCGTGTAGTGTCAAAGACCTTCTCGTCTTCAGCCAATATACCCTCATAGTGAACTAAGATAAAATCAAACACATATAATTAGGAGAAGAATAAACAATAGATGAACAATTCATAACTATTCATATATTGTCCATTATAATTCATCACTAGTCAATCTTAAGAGCATACCATCGACAACAGGAAGATCATCAGAGGGCGAAACAGCATCAGGTTTGGCTCTCCTTACAATCTCTTTCAAGACTCCACCATCTCCACTCAAATCGATCGCATCACCCATAGCTTCAAGGGTTCAAAGAAACCTAATTCACCAAAAAAAACAAACCTTTCACATATTAATAACATTACTGAAATATGAACACATAAGTTCCAGTACACATAAACACATACACAATTACATCAACTAAGTGTAGAATCATTTCTGGGTGAATTTATCATTCTCTCAGCTCACCAACAACAAAATTAACAGCTTTCACAATCTATTAATCATATAGACACAGACAAATGGATGAATTCAAAATCAAACAGGCGATGAATCGTAACTAGAACAATTTCTAGAGATGTTAAAGGAGAGTTAGCTTTAGATTCTCGAACTCACCCGATTCGAGGAAAGATGAATAGTCTCTGATCGGATACGAAAACGGAAGAAGTAAATGTGTAGTGACGAAGTGATAACCGGAAAGAGATCGCCGTAGAGATCGGTGGCCATAGACTGTCCAAATGAGTCGAGAATTTTCCTACAATCGGCTTCTTCTTCTTCTTTCCTAATCCGATGCTTTTGAGCCGTCACGTGTTCTTCTCTGGGGACCGGTGCAAAAATTCATATTCGTTGGCCCATTAGGCCCAATATGTTTCATGAGGTCTTATATAGACGTAAGACCATTAGGCCCATTATGTTGGCATAAAATGCAGCGCGTAGCTATCGCTTCTTTGTTGTCCTAGAGAGTTCTCTTATTTTTGTCCTAAGACTAAAATCTCACGTCCATTGTCACTTTTTTAGAAAAGAAGAAAACCATAATTGTAAATCTGTAATCTCCAATAATTAGGAGTGAACTAAAGTACAAAAGATTCCGCAAAGTGATAATTTTTAACAGTGAAAGTCAAACGGAATATCGTCCGCGTGTTGTCTAAGAGAGGTGATAAACAAATCAAAATCAAGCATGCTAAATGAACAATCAATATTTTTATAATCATTTAACTAAAGATCCCTTTGGATTTGTGGGGATTGCTCATAAAGTATAATTTTCAATCAGTAACTAAACTATTTTGATTTGTCTCTTTATACATAGTGGATTTGAAATATACTTATTATACTGTATAATCTTTTTATAATTGTTCAATGCCGCCATTACTCTTTTGTATACACAATTTAGGAAAAAGTGTTCTTCACCGTTGCAAATTTGCAATGATCAAAACATCCTCCATATATTGAAGTTTTTAATAGGACATTTAATTTGGAGCCATTTGAATCCTTGTGTTTAAGCAAAGGAATCCATGAATTTAGTATTGATATCATTGTCCTATTTAAATCCTTCTTATATGAAACTTGCTATTCTAAACTTGTATGCGGTATAATATGTACATGACTAACAAAATTTTAGGATGTATAGTACATTATACAAAAACTAATGTGAGCAGTTATGTCGAGATAGTGGTCATATATATATTGTGAACACCCCAAAATTTATGTGCACAATCATTGCCAGAATAATTAAAAGATTCTTAGTAAAAAAAATTTGCTTCTGATCATTGAAGGTCAAACGTTAAAAACTTAAAAAAATTTAAAACATACTAATCGAATGTCACCACAAAGTATCAAAAGTAAAACAATAACTACATCGAAATTTAAAAACTCGACGACTAGAAAAACACGAATAATATAGTACAAAGGAAACAAAGAGAAAAGAATCCAACACACACAGATACACCTACATAAAAAAATTTATTTTCGATTGTATCATAAAGAAGGTATCATCCAAGTATAAATCACAAAAACCAAAAAAAAAATTGGTATTCACATATGTTTTTTAAAAAATTCCAACTAATTCGTACCTAAACCCTAATTTCTGTAGACAACGAAATCAATCTTTAATATATTCCTTTTGAGAATACCGGTTCTTCTAGGTGGACTCGAACTAGATACTTCTCTCTTAAAGAAACTACTAAACCAAGAATCACTGAATGACAATAGTTTAAAGTACCAATCATTTTTTCAACTAACTTCCCAAATATGGATCCCAAGATTATTGTGCTACTGGGAAATATCATTGAACGTGATAGTAGCCTTGCACTTGTAAATGTAAAACAATAAGACCTCTATGTGAGTAAATAAGTTGATGAGAACTATCTAGAAATATATTTTCTATAAATATCATCACTTCTTCAGCAGTAGCTCGATGACTAGCAGTCTAGCACTCTAGCAGTAGTGACTTTTTTTCTTAAAGAAACTCCATCTTTCTATAGACTCAGCTCTGTTTATTTAATCACCTAGGCCTAACACAAGGAATTATATATTGTAGCTATCATGAACTATAATTAATGTGGTCGTAATGATGATTGATTACAATGGAAGTTGCGGGACCAAATAATACGTAGTGGCTTTATAAATCTGAATACTTGTTCTCGTTAGTTATATTTCTTCTTATAGTATTTAAGTGGCATGTAATCGTGTACTACGTAAGATATTAAGTTTAGTTACCACAGGCAGATCCATTGCATAAAATAACTATTTTCATATTTATGTAAGCTTTATATATATCCTCTTTAATAAACTTTGATTTGGCAAAAAGAAGAAGACCCTGTCAATTTTATTACTCTAACTAGATAATCTTTTATATTTCGCATGTTCAATCCACTATAGTAACAACCTTTTTTTATTAGAACATTTTGAAGTTACCATAATTGTCCTTTGACTTCAATGATATTCAAAAATCCTAATGATCACATTTCATTTAACCCTTTTAAGTTTTTGAATAATCTTTTTCTCTAACACATTTAAGTCATAACATGTGATTTGAACATATCGGCTTTAGACAGTAATAGGATCTAATAATAACTGCGATATGTTTTCATATCACGTAATCAAGTTCAAGAAATTAAATTGGTATAAAATCGAGATGAGAGAGCAAGAAAAACGAATCTAGTTCACCATTTTATACTAATTGCTTTATATCCTCTATTGTTCAAGTGCATACACTGAAATTGATGACCAAAAGCAAACACAAACATTCAAATCTAAGTTCCAACCAGAAAGTAGAATCCTGCCTATATGTACATTTGTATCTAATCTACTCTTATAGTTTAAAACAGAGGCAAGAAGAAGAAGAGCGAGGTAGGGTTTTGATGTTGATTTAGGAGTCGTCGGAGTTGTTATTATTATGATCAGTCCAGCAAATAAGCATAACGACGCATCTCCTCATGATGTAGAAGCGAGCTCTTTGTTCTTTCACCAATCTCCCACACTTCCTCGTGAAACCGTATTTCCCCTGTTTCTGTCTCGACGAGCGTGTGGTCCTTGACGCACCTCCGTCGTCTCCGAACCTTTCCTTTTTCGATAGGTGAAACTGCGGCGAGTTTCGCGGTCGAGACATTTGCCTGAAGATTCTTATTAGACTTCTGATCTCCCTTAGGAAATGAAGTGATGGTTTTGTTTGATTCTTGTTGGAGACTGATGGATTTGAGATATTTTCTTGAATCTGTGAGATTCAGCAAAGTTAAAGAAAAGTTAAGGAAGAGAGTTTATGGGGTACTTCCGCATTTATAATGGTTTACAAATAAATATCCTTTTGAACACAAAAAAGAGAAAAACGGTCTAAAAAAATTTAACACTAATAATTGTAGGGTGATTTAGGTGAATAACCAAAAAAAAAAGAAAAATTAGTTTTTTAGAAAGAAGGTAGAGAGAGATAGGAAGAGAAAGAGAGTGAATAGGGGGGTTAGAGGTTAGTTTCTTAATTATAGTATTTTTGTTGGTTAGTTTTGCCAATTTCCCATAATATGTATAAAATAACCATGTATAAAGTTATGAGTATTCATTTAAATATTAAACGCTAACTTTATTTCCCCAAAAATATAGTCTTATTTTTTTAACATATGTGAAAAGTTAAAAACCCAAAGAAAAAAGAAAACGGGTACAAAAAGAGAGATTTTAAATGCATCAAAGCAAATCTAAACTCTCACTGACATTTTTCTCTGCAACTGTAACTGTTTATTGCTTTCTCAGTACAATTCATTATTCCACCACCAACAACAACAGTTATATTCACTCTACAACAAAAGGACAAGAAAAAAATAGAGGTCCAAAAAAAAACACAGAGCTACAAAATAACCAGTCTTTCAATCAACAAACTACAATAAAATTTTATAATTGAACTTTTTAAAATAACTAGAATACGTTATTAATACGATTACAAAATAAGATTTGTCTAAATCATTTATACGATTACAAAATTAATCCGAGTGTAGCATTATTCTTGTAGTTTACAGAAGTCATTATCGCTTTACAGTCGCATTGGATATAAAAAGCAGAGACATATCTATACAAAATCCATATTAGTCAAACACCAAATCTTGTTCTAATCATTGTGATTAGGATGACAATCACCAATAACACTAAGTCACTAATCGGAATCTCTTATTATATACTTTCTAATAACGAGTACTGACTTTCATACGAGAACTGATTTTCGTACGAAATCACCCATTTACCTATCCCCCTGGGTCACTAGATTTTTGTAAATTAAGTAGTTAGCTCAAAAACTATTTTTGATTAGCAAAAGTGTCTTAGGAGGCCCCAGGGTTAAGAAAGACAGTTACTGTATGTTCATGTTACGTTATAAACAAATAGTTGAGGCCCAAAATTAAAGCCCGAAATTACAAAAGGCCTTTAATAGTCCAATGTTATGTTAAATGGGATAAACATAAACAAAGCAACAATTCATCAGATTAAATCCCTAAGATTCCAAATGTAACCAATTACGTAACTTTATCTTTAGAAAAGTTAGCATCGTCTAAATAATGATACAACGAAGTCTTTACATCTTACGAGATCACTAAGGTCGACGTTTACAACTCAAAACGCACAAATTAAATTACAATATACGAAATCACGGACCACCCAAACTTAATAACAGTTACAGCATAACCTTGCCAAAGTTCAAATTGATAATAGTCTTGCAAAAATTGCATAGTCTAGTAATCAAGCCCCAAATTTGACGTTAGAAAATATATATTACTCAACCATCGGATAAAAAGACGTGTTCAAACCTAACTATAATTTGGGTTGGCTCAATTAATTTTCATTCAAGTTTTTGCTTTTCCAGTATTATTTTGTACATCTTAGCCTAATCATTCCATTGATGATATTTGCAGATCACTACTAAACTCATTTGTTTGGAATAATAAAAAAAGAATCCATGACTCAAATCTTCATCTCTTGCTTCATATATTTGGAGTCTAATAACATCATGAATATGCTCGACAAAACAAAACAAAGCCTTATTGGTGTTGTAATTTTTCTCCAAGTCACATATCAGAAGTCACACATCAGTGAGATCAAAACGTTTAGGAAGCAAGTTCGATTTACAATTAGAATTTTGATCTGTATACTATAATCTTTGAAAATCAAGATTATAATATAAGCTCAATAATATCCATGTTATTAAAATTCTTACTAGATCTTAAATATTAAAT